CTTAATTACACAGGAGGACTAATTCTCTAATATAACAGATTCAATTCATTAAAACAAACGAATGAGAAGAAGAATTACACCTACCTTTACCTCCTAACAGTTCAGCTAAAAATTTTGTTTCGGATCTCCAAAGGATAACCTAATAATCAGTTTTGACCCAGAACCTGGAGAAATTAGGTACTGTTACTTTTCTGTCAGAATTTCAAGTGAAAAAAGGCAATTGGGTGGGAGGCAGGGAATCACATTAAACTTCAAAAAGAAAAAAAAAAAATTCAGGAGAAAAGACCAAACCATGAGGCTGGAGATGTCAAAAGGCACCACCCAGTGGTGCACTGGGAGAAGTACAGGCTCTTCTGCTCAGGCCCAGGCTGCCCTGTGGAAGGCCTGGAGATTCCTGAGTGGGAGCCGCTACATTTGCCAGGAAGCCACTAACCGAGGACTGACAGTGCATGGCATTGATATCATCAGTGCTTTTCACGTTCCAAGAATTAGGTGAGTACTTGATTGAGAATTAGAATCCATATATTGTTTTAAAATACAGAGCTGTGAATCTTTTTAATTTAATTTTATAATGGACACAAATCTGGAAGTGATGTCAAAAGATTTCAAACTATTGCCTGGAGTGGGAATGATGATTCTTTCTTCTAAATTGTATGGCACAATTATAGCTTTCTTTGTAGGAAAAAGCAAAGTCACTTCTAAAGAAATATATTTTTTTCTAAATACATGTGTACATATAAGCATAGACACACAAACACATTTATGCTTGTTAGAAATACATATGCATATTGTAGGAACTGTAAAATAAATACAAAGTGAAAAAAATGATGCTCCCAAGTCAGCAGTAGCCATATAAATAAGCTAGGTATAATGATTTTCAGTCTCCTTGTTTACAATTCACATTATTTTTCTTATAAAATTTATTTCATTCTATATGGAAGTGTTTAAGACAATATTAAAGAGCAAAATATAATTTTATACGGAATGGTTAACTTTTTTTATTGTGAAAATGCTGTACAGAGGGGTTACAATTACATGGGCAAGGTAATGAGTACATTTCTTATCAAGCATTGTTGCATCCTCCTTTGTTTCCCCTTCCCTTCCCTTCCCATCTCCCCCCACCACTTCCCCCTCCCCGCCCCCAGGCCAAAGTTGTAAACTTTGTTTTCAACATAAGGACTTGTACGTCTCATTGTTGCAATGGGTCCACCTGTATCCCTATTTAAACGATTTGTTTTTTCCCTTCCCCTCCACAAATTACACCGACATCAAATACAGCGAAAGCTAAAGTTCGTTTTTTTGACATAAATCTTGTACATCTCATTTTTGCAATGGGTCCACCTGTATCTCTATTTATATATATATTTTTTCCCTTCTGACACTAGGGATTAAACTCAGCCTCACATGTGCTAGGCAAATAGCACTCTACCCTTTGAGATATAGCCCCTAGCCTTTTTATTTTTATTTTGTTTCTGATACTAAGTCTTGCTACTTTTGCCTAAGCTAGCCTTAAACTCCAGATCCCCAATTTGCCTCTTGAGTAGCTAGAATTACAGGTGTATTTTAGCATACTCAGCTGAGAATGGTTAACTTTCTAAACAGTAGAATGGGAACTGTTATAAGAAATACTGTAAGTATTAATGCAAGTTTAACTTGTAGGCAACTAAGCAAATGTTTTGTTTTGTTTTTACCCTGAATCTATTCCGTGCAATAAAGGAAAAGTGAACTTAGTGTACCTCCTGAATCTCCCAACATGCCACCAATGATTCTTCTTCCTGAAAAATTGAGATGTCCATTTTTGTCCTCTCAAACTCAGAATATTACCAAGAGTAGTAAGTGCAGAGACATAAATGTAAGACCAAAATTTACACTGCCCTGTTACATGAACACTCTTCAAGGTTCCTGGCAATTTCAGGCATTTAGTACATCAGCAGCACTCTCAGGTCTCTTTTCTAAAATTGAACGTCATAACTATCTTTGGAAACTGAATGGCAGTGGCTGGTTTTAACTGGCATCACAATTACCTTATTTTCACAGGAATCGTTTATCTGTAAAGATCAAAGGTAAAATTTCATTTTTCCTGTATGTATCTGATTTCCTTAATATGCACTGTTGCTTGTTTGTTTGTTTTGCCTGTCATGGAGCTTGAACACCCTGAGCCTTTCTTTGTTCAAGGTTAGCGCTAGCACTCTACCACTTGAGCAACAGCTCCACTTCTTTTTTTGTAGTTAATTGGAGATAAGAATCTCAAAGACTTATCTGCTCAAACTGGCTTTGAACCATGATCCTCAAGATCTCTGCCTCTAGAGTAGCTAGTATTACAGGTGTGAGCCACTAGCACCTGGCTTAATATGCTGTTTTGTACCTACAATGTCACCTCTTTCAATCCTAATAAAGCATTCTTCCAATGTAATTGGAAGTAATTAATTTCCCCAATACAACTACTCTCCTTGCTTTTGCACCTCCTTATGTTGCTTCACATTCCTCTGTCTCATTATCCCTACCAGTTGAACCAGAGCACCTCTCTATTAATCCCTGACTACTAACTTCCAAACAATTGCCAGTTATCTCCTTCGGCAATTTAAATTTTTTAAGGTGATATAATTCCTATTACCAAATATCAATCATCCTTTGCCTCATTCCATTTTGAGGCCTAAATATGGGAGTAAGTCTTAGCTTTTGGTTAATTGTTTAATTTCTATTAGTGCTTCAAGATGATAATCTACAAATATGTTATTTGAGGGGGCAATTTGCCTATTTAATTTTTTCCTATCATTACAGGAGGCTTCTCATATTTGTTCCTTCGAGGTTTTTTGGACTCCTATGCATAAATAAAAATTTCTTTTGTCTCTTTCAAGTAGAATACCTTATACGTAACAATGAGCTCAAGTGAGAGACATTCACAGGCTCCTATCCTCTGAGAAGAATGTGCTATGTCTTCACATATCCAAGTACAGTTCTGGTGCTGTGTAAGCTTTCACCCCTACCAAGTAGGGGTGGAAGTACTGGTCACATACTTTCAAGTTTCAGTAGTAAATTATATAAGTAAATCCATTACCATACACTGTGGGGGGAGGGGAGAATGTAGTTGTGGAGATGGGAGGGAAGGGATGGTAGGGGGAAACAAAGGAGGAGGCAACAATGCTTGATAAGAAATGTACTAATTACCTTCTCATGTAATTGTAACCCCTCTGTATGGTATTTTCACAATAAAAAACTTATTAAAAAAAGAAAAAATTCAAAACTAAACAAAAATTTTCCAATCAATTTGAGTCCCATCTCTGTCAACTTATTTTTCCCCATCGCCATTCTTCCTGTATCAAGCTGACTTCGTACTGCATTATGGAAGGACAAGAACAGGAAGGAGCTGAGCTTATCTAGTGAAATGGAAGCAGAAAAGACAAACTGGGTCAAAGGATGAAAAAAGACACTTGTTTGTGAAGTTGACCAGAGTAGGGGTGAAGTAGGAAAAATGTATCAGGAGACTCCAATATTTATTATTTTATTTTCCCATGAAAGGAAAAAGAAAAAAAAAATAAGCAACTTCTTGTTCTTGCATCGCTTCACTTAAGTATCAGCAGATTCCAATGCCCATGTTAGACAATTATCCAGTCTTGCGACTTTTTCTTAGTTTATGCTCCCTGAAATGCCCCCCCCCCGACTCCCCATTGCTTCACAGTGTCCTTGCTTATATGACTGTCACAGCCCTTCAAGACTGTTCAAATCTCATCTGACTCAGAAGGTTACCCCTGACTGGTCACTGGCCTCTCCTCTGTGAATATCACCAGGCAGCTGCCACATGTTGCCAGTTGCCCCTCGAAACCAAACTATATAGACTATATACACATTTATGTTTCTCTCCATCTTTTCAGCAATTACAAAACTGCTATGCCTACTACCACACACTACAGTTCAATGGCCACTGCCTTCATTTTGATATATACCTGTCATACTTTTGTAGATGGTTAACCTCATTTCAATATAGGATATCCGTGACTACATTCTCAATCAAGCCAATAAGAAGTGGGAATTAGTGTCTAGCACAAGGCCTAATCTCATGCCAAGGATCATTATGGGCAAGGGCTTGTGGCTGGCCCATAAAGAGGGTTTTCAGGGTAGGAGAGTGTTCCTTAGAGACTTTCATATTCACCCCTTTCTTGTATAAATGTATCTTTCCAAGCTGTGACTGTATCACCATAGTAACACCCACCACAGTGGGGAACCAGTGATGGGCCATCTTAGTGATGGGCCTTACAGGAAATAAGGGTTAGATATATCCTCACTCACCATCCATCATGAACACTAAGGCGTAAAATCAGTTTAAGTATTTTTTTGTGTTCATAAAAAATGTTTAGCATGCCAGGTGTCAGTGGTTCACATCTATAATCGTAGCTTCTAAGGAGGCTGAGATCTGAGGATCATGGATTGAAGCCAGTCAGGGCAGAAAAGTCCATGAGACTCCTATGTCCAATAAACTACTCAGAAAAAGCTGGAAATGGAGCTGTGGCATGAGTGGTAGAGTGCTAGCCTTGAGCACAAAGAGGTTCAGGGACAGCATCTAGGCCCTGGGTTCAAGTCCCAGGACCCACACACACACACACACACACACACACACACACACACACACACACACACACAAATGGTTTCCAGTGCACAGTGGCTCACATCTGTAACTCTAGCTACCAGGGAGGTGGAGGATTACATTTCAAAGACAGCCCAGGCAAAAGAAAAATTCTCCATCTTAACAAGAAAAGCTGTGTGTAGTACCTGACATTCTAGCTATGGGGAAGATAAGAGAGTATGAACAGGAGGATCATAATCCAGGATAGCCTGGGGGAAAAGTGAACTTCTTATCTCATAAACATAATCAGAGCCCCAAAATGGGGAGGGGCCTTTGGTTTCAGTGGCACAGCCTCCACCTAGCAAGCAGAAAGCCCTGAGTGCTGAATTCAAACCACAGCATCGTACCCCCAAATGTTTGAAGAAAGAAAATTACTTACTGCCTTCCCACGTACAATGCAAAAGATTCAAAGCCCCTTCTACTCTCTTCCAGTGCGCAAGATGGAAGAATGCATATGCTATTGCTTCACTGTCTCCTCTCTTCAAGATGTGTTCTGGGGGTAGGATTAAGCTTTTCATTTCTAGTAGGTACTAAAATAAAAAAGGCAGGAAACGTGTTAAGACACAGTGATTTGGAACTCAATACGGAAATAGGTTGATTTTCCCCGAGCCATTATTAATAAGCGTTTCATCAAACCCCATTACTACATTTGAAGGCAATTACTAAAACATCCAGCAATTCAAAGTTTGCTGACAGTACTAGTTTCCTTTAGTAAGATCAGAGGCTTGTAGGCCAAAATGTTCTAATTAAAGATAAAGACTCAAACAGCAGAAAGAAAAATGTAGAGGATACAATCATTTAAATTTGTAACTAAATGAAAAAATATAAAATGGACACGTGAAGATCAAGAAATCATATGTTTAAACCAACTGCCCTGGTCATTGACTACTACTGCCTACTATTTTTTTTCTATAAAAACCAATCAAAGAGAAAGACTTTAGCACATAAAAAGTGACACCTAGAGCTGCCTTCAGCCTGGGAAGGACAGAGGGTGGAACTCTGAACAGAAGAAGATGCGAGGGGGGGCGCAGTACAGACTCCAAACTACAATGACCTTTTAGATTCTTTCCCCAAGGCAGGCTGAGTCTCAACTTATACCTCTCCTTTCCTCCTTTCTGCAAAGTTACTGGGGTATGGAGCAAAAATGAGTATTCTTTCAGGAGCCTAAGCAAACACTAAATTTCCATCTTCATTATTTTATATGTTCTATGGAATAGAAAGGGAAGAAAATTTAGAACATTCTCCTAGTGTTCTAGTCCTTATTATCTCCCTTACTGGATCTACCTTCAATAAATTATGTGCACACACCACCAATAACAACAACAAATTCATGTAAACCTTCTTTCAAATGAAGATTATCAGACCATGGAAGGAAATGTTCAATTAGAAGATGAACCTAACAAAAGGAAGGTCCATAAGGAGACATGTTCAAAACTACTAATGTAAGAGAGGTGATCTGTGGTGTCTGTCAGTAGAAACTTATGAAAGACAGTGACAGATGACAGATGACAGCATTTCGGTACATAGAATGGAAATTTGTGATGCTTCATTATCATCTAGCTAAGGATTTACATCCTTCAGTGTCCCCCAATTGTTTTTAAGCCTCCTCTCTTGTTGGCAAGCTTGATGGCAGGGTGTGTGGCACAATGGGAAGCAGGAGGATACATTCAGGCCTTTGGATTCTAAACCTCTTGCCTCAAAGAGAAAGAGGAGAAAAATAGAGAGAGGCCCCAGAGAGCAGTGACGCACACACCATACTTTTGGGGATGCTGGGAAAGAAAGCCTTCCTCAAGAAAGATCTCAATAGAAGGAGTTCTTTCCAGACTGGTCTAAGAAAGATGTTTATTATTTTGATGGTAACTCTTAAAGCACCAATTATAAAAGAACCTTTTGGCCACTTGGCTTTTTGAGGCTACAAGCTATGTTTTTCCTTCTCTATCTTGTTTTGCAACAGTGTAGGATGAAAATCTTTTGGAAAAAATAATGACTGATAGTTACCTGGCAACACAACTAGTATTATACTTATAATGATATCAGCTATTATATAAATAGAAAAGGTGAGCTTTATGGTGAGAGAATCCTGGCTATCCTTTATGAAGCCTTAATAGAAGCCATTATAATACACATGCCAGCCAAAGTCTTAAAACTCCAAGGTTATAAGTAATGAGAAAGATATATACCTTACAAAGCACTACAAATTATATTGTTCAGAGAAAGTCTGAAAAATGACCATTTTGTTATGCTTAACAATCACTGAGAAAATTGATGAGAAAAAATTTCTTGCCCAAAGACAACTCCAGAACAAGATTTTAATTTGCATTTCTAATAATTATTCATAGCCATCATTCCTATCAAATAGACATATCAAGAAGACAAAAATTGCCAGGCGCTGGTAGTTCATGCCTATAATCCTAGCTACTCAGGAGATTGAGATCTGAGGATAGAGTTCAAAGCCAGCCCAGGGAGTAAAGTCTGTGAGACTCTTATCTCCAATTAGCCACTCAAAAACCAGAAGTGGTGGTGCCTCAAAGTGGTAAAGCACTAGCCTTAAGCTGAAGGGCTCAGTGACAGCACTAAAAAAAAAAAAGACAAAAATTTATTGAAAAGCATTTTTGACCACCAGAATATCTATCTATCTATTAAATAATAGTACACGTGTATAAGACAGATGGTTTAACTCAGCCTGTGAAGCTGTAGCTTCAAGGATCATCTGTAGTCCTGAATGTTTGGTAAAGTTTTGTTTTTCCCTCTAAGTCATAAGTCTTCTCTGTTATAAACATTATATATACACATATACATGTATATGCATACACATACAGATGTTTATATACAGACACATGTACAAACAATATGTGCATATGTATGTGTGTATCCATGTCTTTTTCTCAGCTGAATAAGAACCTCAAGAGCATGAGCTTTGTAATCTTCATCTAATTTTCCTGCTGTATCTCCTGCAGTACACCTTGCACATCAAAGTAATGTATATGTATTATATATCAATATGTATATAAAGTTGAACTAAGCTAAAAATTGTACTTTTCAAGAACACTCTCAAATGAGCACCCCATGCTGTTGACATTTCATGAAACCAACCAAAAGAAATTCACTCAGCTCTGCCTTATTATATCTATTTTAGAAATAGGTTATGTCTATACAGGAAATTTATATTCCTTTATAAGTTTCAAAGAGAATGTTGTCCCTAATCAAAGCATGGAGGATAATAGCAACAATGTGCTATGTTTTTGGCCATGCTTAAAATGGCTGGCAAGATCAGTTCTCAACATGTGCAACACTTAAATTAGAAAAACATGGAATAACATTTCATGTCCTACTTGTCAAGAGAAAAATAAATGGAGGAGGGCAGCTCTCTATCCACAAATATGCAGAAATCAATTAGCTTGCAAATCCTAGAACATGTTCTGCCTGCCTATATTAGCTATATTAGCCTATATTGGCTCCTATTAGCCAAGTTAGTATTCTGTGCTATCTTGCCTATGTTCTACACCGAACTTCTGAGATTCTCCATCAGACTGATTGGGGTACAGGGCCTCTAAAGGTTTCAGAAGTAGCTTTTCAAAAATGCATTTGTCAGAATCTAGTTCCGTATGCCCAATAATAGAGTCAATAAAGTCAAGATGTACAAAGCAGGGCAGAGGGCTGTTGTCTCTGTGTGAGTGTTGCCTACTCATGGAGGTATGGAGCAAAGGCTGGCTCAACAGTAAGGAAAGATGTGTTATAGTGTCTCCCACCTGAGGCTGCCCTAGGTGACTACTGAGGTCTCTTAAGGTTCCAAATTTATATAATGATTTGAGAAAGAATAAATCTTGGTATGTTTAACTATCAGTTGCTCCTCAAAACTAGGTAACAGAAGAATTTAGCATGGAAAATATTTATTGTACAATGTTTACAAAATGTATAATTATGCTAAGTGGATAAAACAACCAATGTACCATACTACATATCCTAGATTATTCTCATAATAAAATGTAGCCATTAAAAAAAAAAAAAAACATTGGAGGAAGTGGCGCTATAGCTCAAGTGGTAGAGCGCTCGCCTTGACCTGAAGAGCTGAGGGACAGCGCCCAGGCCCAGAGTTCAAGCCCCACGACCCACAAAAAAAAAAAAAAAAAAAAAATGGAAACTACATAGATGTGATGGTAAATGCCAGAAATTCTAACACTCAGGAGGCTGGGCAGGAGGACTGTAATTTCTAAGCCAGTCAGAATTACATAGTAAGACCTGGCCTCCAAAAACAAAAAAATAAGAAAAATAGGACAAAAAAGGAAAGGTTATAGATTGAATGTTAATGATAACTCGATATTTGATTTTATAGTAGATGTTTTGTGGGTTCTTTGTGTACTTTCTGGGTTTTCTGCTATACTTTCTCCATGTGTGTGTGCATATATATAATCTGTTTTATAAATTTGCAAAATATTACACAAAATGTAAATAATACAAAAAAGATAATAAAACATAGCCATGTTTTGCATGTCTACTGGCTCTGAAAAAAGGCAGAAAACTTGGTTTTTTAAAATATAAGTGTTGAGAATAAAACTAGTGCCACTGGAAGAGAGACTACATTTCTGAGCTTCAATGTGGTCTACTCCTTGAACTCAGTAAGACAGAGTAGAACAGGACAGAACACTTCAGGTTATCGTGGCTCTCATTTAGTTGGAGAATGATGGAGAATGAGGTACATATGACCAAGGCTCCTAGCCTCATCTCCTGTATACCATCTGCAACTGTGAACTACTGTTTGAAATCTTTGGAATCTTCCTCCACAATACAGCTTGTAGATCTTAGTCACATTATGTATTTACCTTTCAGTTTGTTCACTGGTAAAATTAAAAACACTTTGTTAGTTATTAATTTTGTGTGTGTGCTGGTCCCTGGGGCTTGAACTCAGGGCCTGGGAGCTGTCCCTGAGCTTTTTTGCTCAAGGATAGTGCCCTACCACTTAAGCCTCAGCTCCACTTCTGGCTATTAGTTTTACTATTGGTAGTTAACTGGAAATAAGAGTCTCAGAATTTTCTGTCTTGGCTATCTTGGAAATGGATATCTCAGATCTCAGCCTTCTATGTAGCTATGATTATAGGTATAAGTCATTAGCACCTGGCTGGGTTTCAATTTAAAAGATTATGTAAGATGGTAATATGAAGCATTCAATATAGTACCTGTGAACAAGTATTTGTATATGTGTTCATTGTATATGTGTTCATTTAGTGATTAAAAAACATGAAATGCAGTAGCTAGTGCTTGTAATCCTAGCTACTTGGGATGCAGAGATCACGAAGATTTAATTTGAGGCTGGCCAAGTTTTTTGGTGTGTTTTTTTTTTTTTTAACTTCGTAAGTCTGCATTTCAACAGAAAAAAAAAAAAATATGAGCACTATGGTTTAGGCTGGCCCAGGTATAAATATTGAGTGCCTGTCTTAAAAATAACCAAACCAAGAGATAGGTGTTGGGGGATCATGGCTAAAATCCTGGCTAGTCAGAAGGCTGAGATCTGAAGATCCTGCCTTAGCTGTAC